TCTTCTTTTCTCCCCTTTCCCCTTAACTCCTCTCTTCTCTTTTCTTCCCATCTCTTCTCTTCCTTTTACTTACCACCCTCCATTATCACTCAAATAAAATGTTTGGCTCAATTGGAGAACCTATTTTATGAGCAATTTTGATTATTTTATCTACTGCTTAAATATTAAATGGTTACTAATATCTATAGGATCAAACATTATACTCAAATACAAATACAAAAATGTTAATGATTTTTATTTGAGAGGGAAAGTGCATAATGCATTTTGAAATACAGGCAAAACTTTTAAAACTTCCAACACTTATTTTCATCTCACTCTAAAATGTTATACTGCACTCACAGAAAAATAACATTACTCTGACATTTTCCTATTTTTTCTCATATTTTTCTTTTTCAATAAGAGATACATTTTAGTATAATTATGGAAATACAATGTCATGTGCAGAAAATAGCTGTTTTGTTTTTCTTCTAGTCTGTGCAGTATGCTGGGTTTTCTGTTGGTGCACATACATTATTTCTGCTAAGCATTGAAAAAAGTCTGACTCATACAATACATATTTCTAAAAATCAAATCAGACAAATGAAAACCTTTGTTTAAAAGACATGGGTAAAGATAGAAAGATAAATAAGAGTTTTCATCTATAAAATATGAGTGGCTTTGTATGCTGTTCATTTGGGAAGTATTCTCTTACCTGATATGTAAAATTTGAAACTATCTGTGGTTGACAGAAATTTATCATGTTTTTTCCATTATTAAATTCCAGTTTAAAAGGGTCCCTTTCATCGAAGTGCTAGTATTTCAATTAATAATTATTACTTCATAAAAACTAAAAGTTGCTCTGCTATAATTCGTAGGATAAGTTCTGTAAAAAATATTCACCATAAGGGTACAGGGTTGAAACACCTTTAACTTATTTAACTATGTATTTTCATTATGTTTCTTGGTGTGTGTGCTCCAATTGCCTTCTAATCTGGCAACAATATTTTTGTACTTCGTGCAGTTATTATCATGTACATCCTTAAATAAATGCATATGTTCTCTTTTTATGCACCAGAGAAAACATGGATACCTCTTCTAAGTTTCTCCTTTTGTCATCCATACTAAGGATATTATTAAGCCATTGGAACAGCCTACATTTACAAATCACTCCATTTTGTCCCCTTTTCCAAAACTGTTGTCTACCTTCCTCTATTTGAGTCTATAGCAATTTTTTACACCACATGTATTAGACATGTGCACCTGTGTGGGATTTTTTTCTCCCATTTTTAGGTGGAAAATACTGACATTCTTTTACATTGGCCTTGGGAGTTTATAAAGACTGCATCATTACATATCTTTTTTTTTTTTTTTCAAATTTTAATACTGACTGTAGCTTTCTCAAATCACTGTATTTGTTTCATATCTGGGAAATGTTCTGCAGCCTTAAAGGATCATTTAGCATTACCATCAGTTGTTTTTAATTAAGCCCATATACATCAATAATGATATGTTAAATGCTAAAAAATTAATTTAAATTGATCTAATTTCTACCTTCTGGACACTTATGTACTAATCCATGATAGAATAGGATGATGTTTTTAATTCATCAGTCAGTGTGAGTATGAAATATTTCATATAAAACTTTGTGAAAGTTAAGGAATTCAGTTACTGTTTTCCTTGAAAAATTTGCAAAACAATTCATATTATTAAGTTAAAATACTGAAAATAATAAAAGAAAAAATAACTGACGAATGATGTTAGATCACCATTCTGAAGTTCAAAGGAAGTAAGCATGAGCTTGGCAGTAGATGTTTGGAAATAACATCTAAACTGAAACATTTATAGCTATCATATTCTTTAAATTATGGGCAGTGAATTTGTTCTTTAACTGTGGGATAGGAGAGGTCATGGAGTAAAACCAAAGTGACTTGAGAAGCTAGAATCCTCATCTATTGAAACCTTAACCTGATTAGGGTATCTTATAAAAACAAATTTTGTTCTGCTTTAATATTTTTGTGTTCAAAGTCAAGTTACTGAAATTCCCATCAGTGACCTAATTGTATTCTTGACAACACTAAATCCTGAACCTTCTTCCAAACATAGAGATAATACCTGCCTTTGTTTTTTTTCATATAAGTAATGTGATTCTCCGTGTCTTATTTAATTATTTCTGTGTGTTTGTGTGTCTGTGTGCTTGGAGGAATTCTTACCTGTGAGTGATCGTGGGGAAGCTAGAGGCAGACATCGCTATGTCTCTCACTCTTCAGCTTGTTTTTTTTGGATGAGGTCTCTTGCTGAAACTCTGTGATTGATCTTCCCGAGCTAGACAGCTAGCGTGCACTGCTCACCTCTGTTTTCTTTCTCAGCACTAGGGGCAGGTGGATCCCACTCTGCTTGTCTGATTGTGCACCAAAATCCACCCAGGAAAATAACCTAGACCCATAAGCCTGATTTCATTCTAAATATTCTCCTCTTTAGTTACTAAACCCAACAGGACATCTGCTGGGTCTTCTCTCCCATCAGCACAGAACACGGAGTAAATACTGCTTCACTATGTGAAGGACCTTGCACTGATGGACATTCTCAATAATTATTATGACTCGTTTTCCATTAATTTTGTTCATCATATTTTGGAATTATAGTTAAGTAAATGACAAATATCATTCCAAATTCTATTACCTCAAACAGTACAAGTATACTGAAAAGTTCTAACTATTTCCACGGCAATACAGGTCCTCTAACAGTATCGATTTGTTCTATTTCCTGTAAGATGAAGATTCACTGATCAAATAAGCAGTACAATGAGATGGGTCATTGACATCCATTTGAATTCTTTTAAATGTCACAAACTTGACTTAAATTGTCCCTAGCTCATAGGGATTAATTATCTAGTTTATCATCAAATCAGCATAGGAATTGATTCTCTAGTTTATTATCAGTCTAAGCACTTTCAGTGACCTTCAAAAAGTCATTTTTATATAAATGTTGAAACTAGAAATAATATTCATATGGTCTCTATGTGTGCTTGTGTCAGAACCTGCTTCAAGGACAATAGGAGAAAACCTGGTAAAACTAATCTAATACAATGCAAATTGCTGAGACATTGTAATGGTTTCAGACACATTTCTGGTATTTTCTCCTAATGTTCTTTATTTTTCACTAGTGAGTTTTACTATGGTCTTTCTGATTGCCTTGATTTTTATAGAATTAAATATAACAGTTGTGCTCCTAATTCAGGGCCCTGTGTCATTTGTTCCTAAGCATTACAATTGGATAAGCTCATCAAAACAATGATTTTACTTTTGTCTTCATCTTCCACCCTCTCATTTGGCATATCTTTCTCGCATAGTAACTGTCGTCCACTACCATGCTGCATGCAGAGATCATTTACTTTTCCTTTCATTTACATCTAGAATAACTTTTGTGAGATTAACCTGTCTATTGTGACTGTCGTGGTGATGAAAACTGGGACAAGAAGGTTTGTTTTGTTCTTGTTCTTTTCTTTTTTAAAAATTTTTAAAATTTTAGTTATTATTATTTACTACAATTTATCCACTTTGTATCCCATCTGTAGGCCCTTCCCTCATTTTCTCCCAATCCTACCCTCCCCCCTCTTCTCCCCTTATGCCCTCCCCTAGTCTGATAAGGAAGGTCTTCCTCCCCTACTATCTGATCATAGCCTTTATTTATTTATTTATCTATTTATTTATTTATTTATTTATTTATTTATTTATTTATTTATCTATCTATCTATTTATTTATCTATTTATTTGGAAATTCAGTATTCTAAACCATGCTGCTGTTTAATAAGGGCCAATGCATCATTGGCTAATAAATAAAAACAAAATACAATGAAGCATATTAGAATAGTGTATTCAAGGTTCATCATTTTAGGGTTTAATGTTATTATGGCTTTCTCACAATTCCGAGTTCAAGCTTTAACTTCATCCCAGAAAAAACAACCAAGAATATCACTTTACTATATCAAAAGATCAAATCATGCAAATGAGAAAACACATTTTTTTTAATCTTATTGTCCTTTTAATTTGGCTTACTTATTCAATTCACTCGGCCTCATTTTGGTAAATACGTGTATCCCTTTGATTTTCGTAAGTAAGAGATTATAAGTCTTCTATTTGCTAGCGATTGACTTCTCCCCCTGAACTTGACCGTTACCTGCGCGCGTTGGAACAGACGGCATTACGTGCACATTAAGCTGTGTGAGTCCATGCCTCCAAAGCTTCAGCACTACTGCTCATGTGTGAGCGTCCCTCACTAGGATGGTTTCATTTCATCCTGCAAATGAAGTTATTTCTATAGATGTGGGGGAGGTGCCCCTGCATTCAGAGACTAAACTATACCTTTCAGAGGATAAAAAAACAGGGAAAAACGTTGTAAGCAACTAAGTTGTTTTGATGTAATTCCATTCCTCTCACCCACGCTCTCTCCTGCACACATGTACGCTGAGCTACAGCTCCAACTGTAATAAACAGCTTTAAACTCTGAAATGTCCTGTATTTCACTTCATAGTTTGGACCCACACTGGGATAAAGGATTCTTCCCTTTGAATGTAATTGAGACCAATGAGGAAAGGTTTGCGTGCATTTCATGTGATTTTAGAAATGATGGCAGCTCAGTGCCCAACTGGGTTCCCTAGTAATGGGAACAGGGACTGTCTTTGACATGAACTCAGTGACTGGCTCTTTGATCACCTCCCCTTGAGGGAGGAGCAGCCTTGCCAGGCCACAGAGGAAGATAAAGCAGCCAGTCCTGATGAGACCTGATAGGCTAGGGTCAGATAAGGGTGGGGTGGGGGAGGAGGATTTCAGGTATCATTGGACTTGGAGAAGAGCATGGAAGGAGATGAGAGAAGGTGAGATTTGGAGGGAATGAGAGAGGGGGTTACAGATGGGATACAAAATAAATAAAATGTAATAAATTTAAAAAATAAAAATAAATTATTTTAAACACAAATAAAGAAACCAGTAGTATACATAAAGGGGTTGGAGCTCTTTACTTACAGTGTATTTCTAGCACCTGCATGGCTACCTGAGGGGTGGCATTGAGAGACTCGTGGTCTACCCTGCAGATGACGGCGACTCCATCATCGCTGCGGTCCACTCGGAAATCCAGTGTGCTGCTGACGGTGAAGGTCTTTCGGTTAGCATCCTCCTCTTTCAAATACTTTACATCTGAAAATACAAGTTACAGAAAACTTCTATGACAGTTTCCACAACCCATAACACTTCATTCATAAGTAACTTAAAAAGCACCTTCGACTGTTGTCAGGTTTTGAAGAAGAAATCTGTGAATTTACTGCTAGAATTTTCAAGGCCACAATAGTTGGGTGTAACACTAGGGAACACTCTGTATGTTGTTCTTCAAAATAGATGTTTACGAATGTGTTTATAATTTGAGACACAGACGCAAATGTATCTCAATTTGATAACAAGAAACACAACTCCCAAACTGAATTTAAAAAGTTAAATAGAGAAGTCAAATTGAAAGGGTGTGTGCCATGCACCGTTTTTTATTTGTACTTTCAACTTAACCAGACTGTCATCAACTTTTTTTTTCTGTCCTCAACCTGCAATTCTTTTAGAGACACAAATCTCTTCTCCAGTTTATGTTTACATTTCTCTAAAAACATTAAGTAAATTCTCTGAGCTGTAAACACACTTGGAAAAAGTATGTTTATTAGTATCTGTTTATGACTTAGGGTGTGAAATGCCTGTGCACTCTGATTTTCACTTTGAAAGGAACAGGCTAGCTTTACAGGTTTCTTTATAAATTCTATACCCCGTGTTAAACTAAAATTTCCCAGCACTTTTACAGAAGGCAGGAGGAGGAGTGGATAAGTTGAGAGAAGACCCATTGCAAAGGAATGCGAAAGGTCTCCTCCTGGCTTTGGAGGAGTGTCCAGATCTGCAGTACGAGATAACGTTGCCTGGTAACCACTCCAGATGTCACCAGTTCCCCAACCCAGATCCGGGCAGGACCAGATAGACTTGGCACCTAAAATGAACCAATCATTTTAAAAGTCAACTACCCAATCCAGTGTCTCCAAGCTTGCAACCTCCAAGATTCCCACGCTCCTTCCTTTAAAACCCTCAGACTTCTGCCTCTCCTGGCTGTTCCTTGCTGGTTTTGTGGGGGGGGCAGCCCCATCATACGATGGCTGAATTAACCCTCTTGCTATTGCATCGATGATTGGTCTCCTGAGTTCTCTTCATCCCCTTCGGAAAGTTAAGGTCCCCTAGGGGTCCCCCCTTTTGGGCCTAACAACTTCAACAACACAAGAAAAAAATAAATAAATAAACGCTAAAAAATTTTAACAGAGAAAGGTGGCCAGCTTTAGATAGAAAAGAAAACACTTGAATACTAGATATATTTAACACATAATTGCTTTGAAATTTATGCAGAGATACTGTTCCTCCCTAGGTTGAAGAATTCATTCAGCATAAATGAAATTATTTTTCTTAAGATGTGAATTCATTTATTGTTTTTTACGCTTATATTTATACGAAGTCTGAGTCACTGTATAATGGCCACTTTGGGATTAATTCATAATTTCTTAGGTTTGAAGGAGTTGATAAGAATAGGACAATTTTTACAGAGATAATCTAGAACCCTTGCACAGAGGTAGCCTGTGGCAGCTCAGTCCCAAGTGGGTCCCCTAGTAAGGGGAGCAGGGGCTGTCTCCGATATGAACTCAGTGGCTGGCTCTTTGAACACCTCCTCCTGAGGGGGGAGAGGTGCAGTTTTACCAGTCCACAGAAGAAAATTCTGAAAGACAGTCCTGATGAGACCCGATAGACTAGGGTTAGAGGGAAGGGGAGGTATCAGTGGACTGGGGAAGGGGCATGGGAGGAGATGAGGGCAGGTTGGAGGTCGGGATTGGGAGGAGATGGAGGTGGGGCTACAAAGTGAAAATTGTAATAAACAAAAATTATATTTAAAAAAGAAATGATACAATTGGCTAAGGTTCATATGCCATTATAGGAAGATCTTATTGTAGTTGAAAGCACAATATGCTCCATGTTCTCTCTTCTCTGTTGTCCCTTTTCTCAGCATCTAATAAACAATGGTACTTTTGGGAATCAAGTTCATCACTAAAGATATTTAAGTTACAGTAACAGAAAGCTTATTAGGGGAAAGCTGTTGCCTTCTAGCCAAAAGAATGACATTTATGTCTGGTGGAGAAATGTCATTGCCTTCTCCCTGAAGAGTTAATCCAATTGGGCTGCTCAGTTATCGGGCCAAGAGACCACTTCTCACCAATGCAGGTTCACCTTAAGTCATGCTAAAGATGACAGGTGAAATCATTTTTCTTTCCCAGAATTTCTGTTCCATAGCACACTTCCTATGAGCTGCCCTGAATCTATTGTTTGCCCACCATTCTGAAACTTTGGTCAGAATCACTTTTTCTTCTCTTCTCTTCAGCTTCTCTGTGCCTCTGTGCCCCACCCCACCCCCTCTTTCAGGCACTTGCAAAAGCCTAAATCAGCTTCTCTGGTACTTTGGGCTATTTTACTCTTTCTCTGATTCTCCCTTCCCTGCCTAGGCTGTTGACCCACCTGGTGGCAGACCTGTAGGCCTAGTTAACCCAAGGGGCATGGTTCTACATCTCTCTTAAGCTCCTACCTATGAACTCATAATAAACATCATCTAAAATGCAACCTCTGTGGTCTTGTGCTCTGCAAATTTCATTCTTTTAATTCATGGAACAAGAAACTGAAGGACATTTATTGCAGGGTGGTTTCGTAAGGACTTCTCGCTCCTGCTCTCAGATATTCTCTTGCAGTATAACCTGTTACTATATATTAACAATTACTTTTTAAATATGCAAAATATGTTAGTAACAAGCAAGAGATTTAGTTTCTTCATGATTCAAACTTCTGAAAACATTTTACTTGTAAATTGCACCAGATGTTATGTGAAATGTGCATTATCTTTTGAGTTCTATTTATTTATGAGGAATCATAAATTTACTTTATTGCTTAATTTCAAACTAAAACACCACAAATATGTTTGTATATGCTAGAGGTATATAACTCCTAAATATTTTGTTTTTAAAGTTATAAAAATTTATTATTGTGTTCATTATTCTGTTCATATGAGAATACTCAAGATTTTTAACACACATTCTCCCTCTCTCTCTCTCACATACACATGCACACACTTGAGAGTCTTATGGCCCCTAGACAAGTGTGGAAAACAAAAAATATCTAACAGTTTGAAGTGGCATAACTCTCTCTTTTAATTATAAATTCCAGGACACCATGGCACGTAAATTATTTTTCATAAATGAATCTCATGAATACCATTTCTACTTCTGTTGAAGTCATTAGTTGATATCTTTGCATTTTAAAACTAACACAACTTCAGTTAAAATGAGAAAAAAAATGAACTGACCACCTGTAAGTATAAGTTTTATCAGCATAATACAGATGTGTACAGATGTGTTTGTGGCTATTTAGTTCTATTAAAATTTTAAGAGGCACTTTTGGTTTTAATTACTTGTGTCTTTTCAAGAGAATGTCACCTACTTTCAGATTTTATTTTTATCTTGTCAGTCTATATCCAGTGGTTACTTATTTCTAGCTCTAAGTAGTAGAAAAGTTAAGACAATTTAGACTTCTTGAAAACTTTTATAATTACATTATACAATACTTGAAGAATTGGTCTTAAGCAGTGTTTTATTTGAGCATTTTAAAAATTCACACACCTACTTCATTTAGTTGCTTTCTTTAAAAATATTATTAAGGTAATATTAATTTTATAATAAAATTTGAAAGTAATTGCACATAGCATAAAATTTTAATAATAATTCAAATAAAACAGGCACTATATAATTTGTGGATTTTATAATCTATATATTAATAAATCAGGTTAATTCAGGCCTACAGTGTAAATAGGTATAATCACTTAGATAAGCCAGTTACACTTTTTCCTTATTAGGTGCTTACCTGCTAAAACAGGTAGTCAAAGTGTAAAATATATTTCCAGTTTTCTTTTCTTCTCTCTCTCCTCTTTTTCTCTGAGTAGTGTGTTGGTGCAAAAGCCAGCTGAGCTCACAATAGGATGTTTGCTCTTTTCCTCTGTCACTCTCAATGGTATAGCCTTAAATAGGATTTCTCACTCTTCTATAAACTTGCTATTTAAACTGTATTGGATGGCCAGCAAGCTCCCGTTATTCCCTGGTCTCCACTCCTCCATGCTGTAGTTACATGCAATAAAGCCTGACTTTTTGCATGGGTACAGAGAACACAAGCTCAATTCTTAATCTATTGTGCCCTCTCCCTAACCCTTCATATTGATCGTTTTCAAATAAGTGATAAGTTACAGAATTATAGAGCTTATGTAAATTTTCTTTGCACTGTACAGGTTAATTTTTTTTTCTACAAGTCATTTTGTTTCATACTTTCTTTAGAGTTTGAGAATCTTTGAGATAAGATTCCCTTATCTGAAAAGTGTAATGTATACAGCATCCCTTCCCATCCTATTGCAATGCAGATTCTCAACTTCATCAAAGGCAGTGTTGAGCCTGATGGTTGGATGATGGTGCAGAGACAAAATTTTGAAGAGTAAAAGGATAGTGGACACATTACCATAACATATTGTGAAAATGTCCTTAGACCATTGAGTGTGGAATGGGACTCATATATTCAGACTAAGAATAAAGATAGGATAGAACCACAAATGAAAGTCACTTAGAAAATATGAGCAAAAAAATATGCATTTTTTATATCCTGAGTTATATTATCTAGAAAACAAAACAAAGACTCACTTGTATTTTAAACATTCATTTCCCCCACAAAGTAGCAATTTTCAAGAGATATCTCCATATCCATCTTTCTTTGGATTACAGTATTGCCTCTGTGCCTGATCATTAACACTGAATTTTCAAAAGAAACACCTCTCGAGGGAAGTTCCTGGGAAGTAGCCTTATCTCAGCAGTATTTCAAACATACCCAATGCAGTTTCTTCTGAACTGTTCTGATTCATTTGCTCAATTCATTTTTGTGGTTTTGATGTCATTCAGATAGACCTGAAAAGGAGATAGTTCTACTTTTGTGAAGATGTTCCCTTTCCTGAATTCTGAAGTAGATCTCCATACCAGCTGGGCACATGGATAGGACAAGTCTCTTTATCATCCATTACAAAGCTAATAGGTCACACTGAGAGCAAG